AAAATAATAAATTGAATTTAATTTAAAATAGAAAATTATTTTATATATTACTGATAGCCCCCTGCCCCCTGCGGCCCCTTAACCATAATAAATACCCAATTCGGATACTGCGCGAAGTATTGTCGCTATAAAGTCGAATCGGATGATTTTTAAAATACTGTATAAAATATTATAAAATTTGCATGCACATAAGTATACAGAGATCATATATAGTAAATTCTTGACTAAGAAATAAATTGTTCTCCAATTTTATTTTGAACAAAATGTAACAAATTAGCAATTAAATTATTTATATCTTTAAAAATTGGTAAATTTTATATATTTAATATAAATAAATAATTTTACACAAATCATCTTGTTTATATTTTATTATCCATAACTAAAACTGTGTAGCAATCTTTAAAAAACATCGATGAACTTCTTCTTATGATTTAAAACTTTTAGTGCTACAAATAAATTTAGAAATAACATAAATGGAATGCAACAGAAGTTGATATAAACAAAATGCTGCCAAACGGGTTTCGCGGCGTTGAATTTAAGAAAAAATAAGTAAAACTAAAATAAAAATAAGCTAAAACCAAACAAAAGACAAAACTCGTATCAAGTTTAACGAGAATGGGATTGTCTTTGTAGTATGTGTTTCCATCATACCCTGTACTCTATTAAGTAGAGCAACAGGGGTTGCACGAAGTGCTGACAATTTTAGTAACAAGTAAGAGAATTATACTTAAATAAAATTTTAGAAATAGATATATTTATTTTCTCTCTCATACTTCTCTTTTTTTCTCCCTGTCTCTCTTTTTTCTCTTTCGATGTAAAAATAGCCCATTTCCTTCATAAAATCATTATGTGACAACTTTTGTATCATGTTGAATAAATAATAATTAATATTTAGATACCCTTATTAAATTTCTCCCCGCCCCTTTCTCGTTTCCTCACTCTATCTCTCTGTTTACCTCTTTCTCATCATCTCTCGTGTTTCTCTATCTCTTCATATCTCTCTACCTTTGTCTCAATATCATTTTTTCTCATTCTGTCTATACTTCTGTCCCTCACTCCTTTTCTCTTCAACTGAGCGATATTGAAATATTAGCAATCGAATAGAAAGAAGTTATTTAACAGAAAAATGTGAAACTCCTTTTCCCACTAACAAAATGTCACATTTCATTACAGAGTATCTCTTTGCCAAACACGCCCGACCAGAGCGCTCACACTCGCAATTTGACGACATCGCGAAAAAAGGCAAACAGAAAACAAAAACCAGCTCCAAGACGAATCAATCGATCGGATCGGATCGGATCGGAGCGGATCGAACGTTGTGAAGAAATCTGCTCAGGCAGTTGGGACAAGCGCGTGGAGAGCGAAAGGTGACGCAGACTATTTTCGTAGTTTTTGTTTCTGTTTTCGTTCGTTTTTATTGAAATTAGAATTAGAAACGAATTTCAAAGAGCACATCAAATGCTCAGTTACGTGCAAACCTGTTGAAAGTGCAGAAAAAATTCTTGAAAAAAATGAAAACAGAAAATACATAAAAAGAAAATTCTTTTCAATTGCAAATTGGGTCAAGTGCATAGTTTGCTCGGCACAGTGTGCATACAAATTGTTGAACTCGATTTAAAGTGCTGGAAAGTCCGTGAAAATTGCCAGAAGGAAAACAGATGCAAAACCACAGAGAGTGAAAAGAAAAACAAAAATCAAGCAGCTGCAGCAACAGTTTGAGTAGCACTGTGCAACAATAAAATTTACTTAATAGTAGAGCAACAATATATATATATATATAATATGAAAAGTGCACCAACAAATATTTAAAGAAAGGTTAACAAAAATTAAATAAAATCAATTAATAAAATAAAATAAAATAAAAGTTTATGTAGATAAAAATCGAAATACAGTTTGAACAGGACTGTGAACCATAAACAATACAAAAACAATATTAAAACAATAGCAAGCGTTATTAAATGATAATATGTGAATATTTTTTAACAAAAATTTATAAATTTACTAAAACAAAATACTTACAGTTGCAGCAGCATTGTGAAGCATAAAAAAAGGTGCAAAACTTTGCTAAAGCGTCGCGGCTAACAAAACGGCGGCAGGTGGCATCGCCGCACACTAAACAGCATCAATTGAGTTAACAGCGTACGCTTAACAGCAAACAAGCTCCACGATGAATCAATGTCTGCCTGTTAATGCAAAGATGTCGAAAGCAAAGAAGGTATTGGATGAGGCGCGCGAGACCCAAAATCGTGAATTGGATCTTGTGGACAAGGGCCTGGTCTCCTTCGAGGAGCTGCCCGGACTGTGTAAGTGCCCAGATCTCATAAGTGCGGCCTCTAATTGCTTAAATTTGTGTATATTAAACAAACGCAGAATAACTATGACGCCATCGTTGTGCAGTTAACAGAATTCTGTTTGATGACGCCAGCATCTAAAAACAAATTATACTAACTCAGTGCTTCAAACTACATTTCAAATAACTTCATTTTATGTATGCTTACGGCCAAGTGTTGTTGTTGCTTATACACTAACTTTTTCATTAATTGCCAGACAGAAAACGCCCAATTTTTGTTAGATTTTCACTTATAAATAGGCCCTGCGTACGCACTATAATGTTGTCCCACTCACACTAATGCCTGTTGCTCGCAGTGCGTCTAAAACAGCTGTTATTCATGGAGAGTTTTAAAGGGCTGTAGGAAATTTGCTGCGTCCAGTGAATGTGAAACTAAACCAAATATTTATAACTGTTTACATTACTTTAAATTTACTAGTTCTCTATTCGATCATGATCGTTATATATAAAATGAAATTGTTTTAGAGAAATGCCAGCTTTTTGATATAATAATGTCATACTGGAATATCGCCAGCCTCCTGTAATAAATATTTATTCCCTGGTTCTATTGAGTATCTACATATATAGCTATCCTAGCTATAACTGGCCCTTCTACAGCATAAAACATTAACAATCACAAATATCTATAGCATCCCACCTAACTTTAGTATAAACTGACAAATTCCTTTATATGCATATCTAATTAGCAAACTCTATTGTATTACCCACAGTCAACATGATCAATATCACACGCCTGACGCTCTCGCACAACAAGATCACCGTCATCAGTCCTGGTATTGCGAACTTGTTGAATCTGGAAATATTGAACCTCTCGAACAATCTGCTCACCGAGTTGCCCGTTTCGCTCTCTTCGATGCCGAAGTTACGCATTTTGAACTGTTCGATCAATCGATTGGACACTCTGCCGCGTGGCTTTGGCGCCTTTCCCGTGCTGGAGGTGCTCGATTTGTCGTACAACAATCTGAGCGAAAAGGTGCTGCCCGGCAACTTCTTTGGCATGGAGACGTTGCGCGCTTTATACCTCGGCGACAACGACTTCGAGTACCTACCCAAGGAGCTGGGCCAGCTGAAGAATTTGCAGATCTTGGGACTGCGCGACAACGATCTGCTGGAGCTGCCGCGGGAGGTGGGCGAGCTGTCGCGACTGCGTGAGCTGCACATACAAAATAATCGACTGCAGGTGCTGCCGCCGGAGGTGGCGCAGCTCGACCTGCTCAGCAGCAAGTCGGTGATGAAAATGGAGGAGAATCCCTGGGTGAATCCCATTGCGGAACAATACCTGTTGGGCATCAGTCATGTGATCGACTATCTCAAGACTGAAACCTACAGAATGTGAGTTTGCACAGCAAATCTATATAGATCAATATAACTCACTCTTCTGTTCTATTGCAGCATCTACAATCGCCACATGCAGGGCGGACGCAGCGGACCGCCGCCGCCCAAGGCTGACAAAAGCAAGAAGGCGTCGCGAGTGCGCGCATAGTGCACAACAGCAGGCTTTACTGTACTCGTAATTGTTTAACTGCCAGCGCAGCTAAATGTATGTGTCTGTTTCTCGTTTCAACCAAAAAAATTGTTTTTTTGTATACTAATTTTTAAGTATTTTATAATATTAATATTTAATTTTGTCAAAGTGCCTTCAATGTTTGCTAACAAATGCGAATAAATAATAATGTTTAACTAGAAAAATATATTTTCTAAAAAATAAATGTGTTTCTATTCAAATGAGGTTTTGTTGTTATTAACCCAAAGTAAAAATGTTT